AATGTCGTGACTATAACACGAAATGCCATGAGACTGGGTTGCAATATGAGGCTTAGGCATCTTGCCAAATAGTGTTGATGTATGAAAACTATGTGAGAACTGGTTTATGAATGGTTCTTGATGATTAATAAAGTGTTTACAACCTAATTAATAACCTAATTATAAACCCTTTATGAATCCTTTATAAGGGTAGTCTTATTGTAAAGTGGTACCGAAGCAATATGTGTGCACATGCATTTAGTTTCCTATCCATGTGGACATGATTTAAGTGGGAGGGGAACCTAACATCTTCTAGGGGGGTCCGGGGGCATGCTCGTCCAGGGAGATTTTCTTTTAAATGTTGAAGTTAAAAGCATCAATCTAGTGCACTTTTAGAGCAACATTAGGAGATCTATGGATACATCTCTCAACATCCATGTGAAACAGAACTGTAAGCAGATTTTATTTTATTTTTCTTTATGGATATTTTACAAATCACTCACCTTTCAATGTTACTGATATATAGTATTTTATACCTGTTTACTTTATTATATATAACAATAATGATCATATAAAGGTGTGCCTTTACCTCACTGGTTGTAGAAAAAGCTTCTTATATCCGTTAGCATAGCTAGCTAACCAGATGCTAATAACAGCAAAGTTATTGACTGTATGATCAGTATGACATATGAACAGATCGCCACTGGGCTTTCAACTAAAGACACAGCCACGCACAAACTGCGGCATGTGTGCGGCTCCTTACGGGTACTGCAATTTGTGAAGTGCCGGAGAGACGTTCTGGTGCTCTCCGTCAGAACTACACCCCTGTCACATGGATGTATAATAAGAACTGGATACAGCGTGGGAGGCGGGGCCTCATTCATTCCTATGAGAGTTGCTCATTGGCGCATGATGATAAAATGGCCCAACTTTTGAGAGAGCGAAACGTCACAGATTACCCGGCATGCCTGAGAAGTACCCGTATGTGCACTCATAGCGCATGCGCAACTTTAACCAAAATGCTCATTCACACATCAAGCACGTCAATTTGCGTACACGTAACAGCACCGCACGTTCATGACAGCATGGTAATGATTTGTTATTATGATGGATTTGATATTAACGAGGCGGCAGTTAGCAGCTAGCTAGCTAGTAATTATGCTAATGTACACATCAATCGTTATGTACTTATATTACGCTGTAACAGGATCTAGTGATATCCAAGCAACAGAGCTTCATTTAGCATGAAAGAGTTATTGCACTGTATATATGTATAATAATGAATTACAGCAAACATGTGCAATATATCCATTATTACAGCTCCGTGGGATGGCAGTAAGACGATATGGGTCCGTTCTTATTTTGCATCCATGGGTAAAGATAAACACAACTCACATTGGTTTCTCATACAGCATCTCTGTAAACTACGCATGGGCATAGGAAGCATCCTGAATGTGGGGGGGACATTTTTAACGGGGGGGTTTGGGGATCCCCCCCAAACGAAAAAAAAAATAGATTTCCTTTATTCTGGTGCATTTTAACAGGTGGTTTGATACTTTTATGTGGCTATACTAGCATGAGGAAAATGATGGGTACATTTTGTAATTTCATCCAGTAGTAAAGAAAGAAAACATATTTGATTATTAATTCAGAGCCGTCTTTGAATTAATAAAAAGCAGTTTAAATGCCCATTTTTTGTACATTTTATACAACAATAAATATTTGTGAGTGCATTGAGAGATATTGTTGTGGAGAGTCATTTATATATAAATCGCAAAATACATTTGTGAATCCTTCTGTGAGCATTTATTAATATTGAGACTGATTTGACTCCATACAGATGTTTAGTTCACCTAGGAATGGTATCATTGACTTAAATGTTCAAATAAATGTTGATCTTCCGTCTATATTGGTCATATGATGCCCCTTGACTGAAATGTTTCCTATTCAATATCCCCACTGATTTCCTTAAAATTCTGGGATGAGAGTCCACATCACAATTTACTCTAAACTGTCATTTCCCTTTCACCACTCACCTCAGCAATCTCTCTCCACTGTCCCTGTGTTCTGCCTCTGACTCAATCTCAAGCGCCTAGATGTCAAGAGAGGTGGTGAAGTGATACTTATTTATTGAGCAGTATACTCTTTCACATTGAATCATAACAAGTCATACTGAATGTATTTACATTCAGTATGACTTGTTATGATTCAATGTGAAAGAGTATACTGCTCAATAAATAAGTATCACTTCACCACCTCTCTTGACATCTAGGCGCTTGAGATTNGTAGTAGTACACCAACATGGGTTAAACGTGTGTTTTTTTTTACCACAATGTTTGGGAAATTAATGGATAAAATGCACGGATTATTATTATTATTATTATTATTATTATTATTATTATTCCCACTCCGATCGGTATACAGTTTACGTGGGCTGGGCTGGGTGCAGTGGCGGACTGGCCATCGGGACGAATCCCGATGGGCCGGTACCGAAGTGGGCCGGTCGGATAAGTCACTAACACATCCCCCACTCGACAATTTACTAGTGGTACCGAAGTGGGCCGGTCGAGAGTCCCGGGCTGATTTTTAGTCCCAGTCCACCTACATGACCGTATGATCGCCCATATTGACGCACCTAATTCCTAAACTTCTAACAAATACAAAATAAACCGATCCTTCAGCCTCATATGAGCTCTCAGACACGTTCAAAATTAAACTGTCATCGCTGTCTGAGCTTGCTGCTGTGTGCGCCATCGTGCGTTTACATGCAGATGCTGGGATCCTGAACGGTGCAGCTGGAGCGCTGTGCCCGCATTGACGTCACCCAGAATTTGGCGGGACTTGAAGAATCCCCGAGAAGATCCAGGAAATGATCAACATTGAAGGGCAGATTAATGATTATCAAAGTACAAATATCCAAAATCTGTTCAGTAACGGTTTTCAAGGGGACAATATTTACTCAAATTGATGGGTTTGGATGATGGGGGAAAATCGTGTCACAGGCTCTTTAATGGCTCCTGCACTTGTAGTACTTTTGCTACATTTGTAGTTCAGAGTGTCTCCCTCCCCTCCCTCTGTCTCTCGGAGCTCCACAGCTCCTGGTGCAGCGTAAGCGTTGAGCTCATTCTAGCGTCTCGTCTGGCCACAGCGGAGGAAATATTGATCTCAGAGCGAGAGGGAGGAATGAGGAAGTAGTCCTGATTCATCAGCACATTGTGGTTTTTTAGCAGGCAAAACATGAAATAGAGTAATGTTTGACAGGAAGTGCACAGACCTTGATATCAGTTGTGAAAACATTGCACAATGCCAAAGGACCTTTGCTCTACTCTACATGATGTAGCATGTAAGTTCATAATGTTGACTGTGGAGCTGCTTACTTGCTTTAGTCATGTCAAATAGTAATGTGCCTTTCTCAGATGATTTGCCCCTTATACTACAAGCACTCATTTTGTAAGCAACATAAGAACAACTTTTAGTATAACCAGGAAAATAAATGTCTCTAAATATAGGAAATATGATTTTTAAGTATAGTTAAAAAGAACACATGGCATCAAATATGTGACGATAAGTGAAAGTAGATTTGCGTTCAGTAGCTATTAAAGACCAGAGCAAGGGAGTGCAGAAGGAGAATGATCCAAACCCTAAGGGGATGTTTGCCCATTCATTTCTAAAATATGTATTTAAGTGCATTACATATTATAATGTACTTAACACAAAAGGCCTTACTTGTTCCAATTGAGCAAGAGGAGTTCTGTTTACCCGAGCATTTCACTTTGAAATCTATACGTATCTGTTTTTCCTTTTTAAATAGCTCAATGCATTTAAAAAGGAAATGAGATGCAGTTACCCCCCCCCCCAAACCGCCCCGGAGCTTATGCTATGGGGAGCGGGGCAAATATAGAGACCAACAGTGGAGATATTTTGGCGCTCTTATTTGAGAAGAGGAGAGTGTGTTTAGTGTGAAACTCCACGGGATACTCAGCATTCTGTACAGTACGTGGGCCCCCCAGGGCCAACTGGGGCACAGACACTGTGTGATGTTGGCTACGTCACCACAGCTCGGCAGCTTCTACTCTGTGGTATTGCATTTCCAGAAATCACTAATCAAACAGTGAGTCAAATTCGTTGTGTTGTTGTTGATAAAGTTTGACACTTCTCTCTCGTTAAATACACATTTCTTCTACTGCAAATGCTGCTGTTGGTCAAATGAGAAGCATTAGTGGATTTTTCTATTGAAATCTCTACAATGCTTCTCACATAAATAAAGCTGAAGACGCTGCAGATTATGACTTTAACCCCCAGGACAGCTAGCAAACCTCTCCAGTCTATGATCTGATTTAGGGTGTGTTTGAGTGTGTGTTTCTTCTTTGTAATCCCATTTACAAGCACGTGATATGTAACATGGTTAACTACAGAGATGGCATGAAACACAAATGTCTGAAATTGTAAACCTCATATAACACGATAAGATCTCATTTCAGCTTGGAAGAGATAAGGACAAGTTTTACTCAGACCCAATTGTGTCAGCAGCAAATCAATGCTACTTAACCAGTCCAGACATCTACAATTAGAAGTTGATTTTAAGCTAAAAATATGACAGGATTTGATTAAAAAAATGACACAACCAACTCTTCCAAAGACCACTGATAAAACACTGTTTCTAATGTGTAAAACATTCATAAAGAGTTCAGTCAGAAAGTAAGACTGTAATAAACCAGAACAAACATCATATCTTCAGCAGGTGGAAATCTTCATCTCACCCTTTGGAGAGAATTCTTTAGTTACATAAATAGTATTTAGCCAGAATTTGAGACCCGCAAACATTGATTCTTTCTTATAGTTCAAAGGGGGGGGGGGGGGTTGATTTCAGATTAGCCCTACTTTTGGCTCTCTACCCCATTTGTACAAAATGACCCAGAGAGAAAGGGTGACTGAGGGTTGGAAGAAGAACTGTGTGTAATTCCAGGACAGTTTGGAGTGAATTCATGACCAGTGTTGAAGCAGACTTATATCAGCCGGGCGCTGCACTGGATCTCGTGGTAAAGCGGCTTAATGTAGTCGTCCCCTGCGTACCGGTGACTGGTGGAGGAAGAGGAGAAAGAGACCACCACAAGGTCACAGCGTCTCCTTCTAGTATTTTATGGCCTGGTTTCGCCAAAGGTCCCATCAGGCCCTGCAGAAGGACAGCTCTCAGGTCTGAGCATTATGGGGCACCAGCTACCTGCTCACCAACAGTCATCTCCTCCTCTGCGTTACATGAAGCTGGCAGCCTGTCCTGATGTTTGAAAGCTTTCCCTGCTCCTGTCTTTGAGCCTGCAGCTGTCATTGTCCTGGCAAAGTAGTGAGAGCCGATGTGGCCTTGAAAGCTCTGGTCATTACTTATTCATTTGTCTGCATGCAGATGTCGGGCTGAGATGAGACGCGGGGCTCCTGGAGGCTCACAGGGCTGCACTTCTAATGAGGGAACTCAAGACATTTTCTCTCGCAGGGATAGATTGACATCTAGGTCTGCTCTTCAATGAATGAGCCATTTCAATTCTGTCATGAGTAGGCACCTTGCTTCATCCCCTTGGTGCGACGCCTATACCAGGATACTTCAGCATCTGTGTAGCATCTGGTGGAGAAACAGAGCCGAGCCCCCTCTGCTGCAGCCTCTGCATGTATGCTGACAATAAAAAACATTGACTTTAATTAAATGTATTATGTCAACAGATTTTAATAGGCATAATTAGGTTAGTTGAAACCAATTTTCACCAATTTTCAGTTGAAATAGGTTCAACTTAACATCATTGCTTCCAACTAACCTAATACAGTTATGTGAAATATGTTGACATAATACATTTAATTAAAGTCAATGTTTCAGTTTGTTGTGGTCATGTGAGCAGGTAAAAGTCTACAGGGAGGATCTGCCCCGGCCCAAGCAGCCAGGTACTATGGGAGTGCTTCCTGCTCCTCTTCCTCCTCTCTTCCTCCTTTGTTTGACTTCCTGTGCTCCTGAGAGGCAGCCACAGGGAAAGGAAAAGCAAGAGCAGAAAGCTGAGCAGCTCCTCTCATCTCTGCCAGGCTCTCCGGCTGTCTTCCTCTGGCTCTTTGTTATGCCTGCTCTGCTCCTCTGGCTGCCTGCAGCTACACATCCCTGGTGCTCACAGATACCGCTGGGATGGATGTGCCTGTGATGTGCTTATCATAAGGTTTGCCATCACCTGAGGGAGAGAGGCAGACTCATTGTTGCTCTCCAAACTGAGAAAAAGAGAATCAACACATACAGCCTTGATGTGCTGTCATATCAGTGAAGAAATACCACATGGATTTCTGATTTTCATTTGCGCTGCCAAATCACAGCTGCATTTATTCCAATAATTATGTTGTTCTGCTGTGCAGGAGGTCTGCTGTTAGGTGCCGGTGTAGATATTAATGCCTGCAGAATTCACCTGACGCTGATTTGGATCAGTTTGACAAGTCACTGCCCCCTCAATCTGTCGCACTGGCACGTTTCCAGGTGCGGCGGGACAGATGGGCAGATGGATCTCCTGGATCACCTTTTCCCCTCTGCTGCAGAGTGCTACATGTTTAGTTTAAGGCGGAGAGCGTGTCCTGCTCTGTGAGGCCTGTGCAGCAGTACTCTCATGCCACCTTGTGGTCAAGTGTAGTGACCGTTAGACAGTGAGAGGGCACAATGATGCATTGACTCACCTTGGTCACACTCGGTGGTGTAAAGTAACTAAGTAGATGTACTCAAGTACTGTTCTTCAGTACAATTTTGAGGGATTTGTACATGAGTATTTTCATTTTGTGCTACTTTGTACTTCTACTCCATTACAATTCAGAGGTATATTTTGTACTTTTACTCATATTTATGTAATACATTTAATTAGACCTGGATTACATTCATATGCTACCCAGCAGTAAATAAAGTACTAAACCTTTACCAGCTTTGATACAACTTAATGATCAATAATTATTCAACATATCATTTATATTATTCTGAAATGGACCAATATGCACAATGGCTACTTTTACTTTTGGTTCTTTAAGTATATTTTGATGCTAATACTTTTCTACTTTCACTCTTGTACAGTACTTAAGTAAAAACAGAAGTACCAGAGTGTAGAAATATACTCTGTTTTGATTGCAGGACTTTTACTGTAACAGAGTATATTTCTACACTCTGGTACTTCTGTTTTTACTTAAGTACTGTACAAGAGCTGAGTAATAACATTAGGGTATGAATGATTTGAAAGTGATTTTGGCTCCAAAGTATGGAGTATGGTAAAGTTATCGTAATGTCGAAGTGTTGGGCAAGGCCCCAAATTACTCCATGTCTATGGTGTTGAAGTGAGAAAGTGTCTCTGTTGGCCCCTCCGACAACAACAACAAAACTTGACATCCACAGTTGTCTTTAAGCCCATATCTGGAGAAAAACAACATTCTGTTCTGTTCTAAAGATTTTGGGTCTGAAAAAGTATTCAAATATTAGAAGCCAATCTTTAAACCCACCAAATGAAATATTTTTGTTTTGTATAATGCAACCTCCTCCTCCCATCCCAAATACACTGCCAGTTAAACAAACTCAAAGTAAAAAAAAAGAATAGCGGAGCCCACATATTTCAGTCGTCTCCGTTGGAGAGTGTTTGAGTGACTTCTGCCTCACTATCCTGTGGGCTTTGTTGTTTCAGAGCATCATCTTACATCCCATTTAAAGGTTGGCATATGTCAGGGTTTTCTTATCATTATAGTAAATGAGAAAATGCATTCTTAATGTTATTAATCAAATATTTATTGCGTTCATAAATGTGTTAATGGATGAAGCACTGCCATTTGTCTGTAATGATCCTAGCGGCATATTTCAGACTCCATCAAAGAAAGATGAACTTTGTATTTTGTACGTTATGGGCAACTTCCGTCCAACCTTATTGATGCTCAATAAATACAAAATAAAAATTGTATGCATAATGTCTGTTCTTTCTCTTTCTCTTCAGGTAAAGCTGCCTTTCCCTGTAGATCAAATCACAAATCTTCCACGGAACGACTTCCAAATGTTGGTGAAAATGCACAAACTGACCTCGGAGCAGCTGGAGTTTATACATGACGTGAGGCGGCGGAGTAAGAATCGCATCGCGGCTCAGCGCTGCCGCAAGAGGAAGCTCGACTGCATCATGAATCTGGAGTGTGAGATCAGAAAACTGGTGAGTCATCAGTTTCCACCTAACTGTCACTTCCTGTTATCTGTCCAGCTCATCAAACACCACGTCAATTACACCAACCACCACCTGAGCAGAGAAAAGGACATGATGATGTGATGAAATACTATTCACTGATCTCAGATGGGTTCCATTCTCTCAGCTCTCTAACCCTAAGTGTCCTCTGGTGTGTGTGGGGATGGGGAATACATGCAAGATGGTAGGGTTGATCAATAATGGAAATTCATGTTTTAGAGTAAAGATTATTGGCTTTATTAGGAGAGGATGTGACTGAAAAAATACAAAAAGAGGGTGAGTAAGTGTTTTCAGTACAGTTTTGAAAGACAATACAAAACTGTTGAATCCTGTTGATAGCTCCAGCGGATCAGAAAACCTTTATATGAGTAGTTTTGAAAGACAATGACATAATGAGTTATTTTGAAGAGAATATTAGTAGGTGTTGGTGGGTTTTTTGTTTAGAGGGAAAGCACTTAAGAGATATTATTTTGGAGGTTCTGCCCAAAAACCAAAGCACATAAGCTCATGCTAATAGGGTTTTTCCTGAATGAACTAAACCCTATTGACAAATCCCAACTGTGTGTGTGTGTGTGTGTGTGTGTGTGTGTGTGTGTGTGTGTGTGTGTGTGTGTGTGTGTGTGTGTGTGCAGGTGTGTGAGAAGGGGAAGCTGCTGACGGAGAGGAACCAGCTGAAGGCGTGTATGGGGGAGCTGTGGGAGAACTTCTCCTGCCTGTCCCAGGAGGTGTGCCGCGACGTGCAGCTGAGCCCTGAGCAGGTCCAGTCTCTCAACCACTACTGCCCCGTGCGGCCCGCCAACTCCACCGACACCCCCCCCAACACCACCAGCATCGACCTCACCACCCACTCTGGCTCTGCCACACCGGAGCCCAGCTTCCACGGATCGCCCGGGGCTGCAGATAGCGAGCCCGACTCGGCGGTCAGAAACGGGCCGGACAGAGAAACAGACATCCAGGACGCCGGCCTGTACGATGAGTCAGGGCTGGTCAAATCCAACCAGGCGGTAACGGTGGATTTCTGCCAGGAAATGACTGACAAATGTACAACTGATGAGCAGCCGAGGAAGGACTGCGCTAATTAGTGGTGGTTCTCTTTGTTGTTGATTTCGATGTTTTTTTTATTATTTAATTTTACTTTTCTGACAAACCCACTCTCAGGGTTGCTGAGACAGTCAGCCTCTGCCAGTGTTCACTGAAAAACAAGCTTTGTTTGTATTTATGTATTTTTGTGCTGTTTTCTTTTTTTTTTGAACGGTTGACACTAAAGTTGTCTTAACAGCAGCAATACTGTTCTCCAGGTATTCTCCTCTTACCACAACAGAGTGGGAACTTCTCACCAAACATTACAATGGTGCTATCCTCGCCTAACAGCAACCTCTACAGTGGGGACTCGCCCCCCACGTGTCACTCATCACAAGTCAAAGTGGAACCTCATCGGACCTAAACAGCAGCTCTCTGTGTCTCTCTGTTCCTGTCTTCCTCTTTCTCTGTCTCCCACTCTGTCTCTATCAATCTTCTCTACCTCTTTCTGTCTCACTTTTCTTTCTCTCTGTCTGTCTGTGGTTCGTCTCTCACCATATCTCAGTGGCCCTTTTTGTCACAGCAATTCAAACTCAGGAAAAAAAAGAATCCTCTGAATGTTCAACCTAATTCATGAAAAAATGAGAATGCAGCTTCTGTACACGGGGAGTTAAGATGCAGTTGACTTTTTAAAATGTTCATATGCAAATATGTCTTCGAGCGTCTGGCATTTGTAATTCTGTACAGGAGAACTGTGTGCAGGCTGTAACCGAAAACATTCCTCCTTTGCCTTCCTCAGCACTGAATTGAAAGGAAAAGGTTTTTTGCAGGCGGTTAGATGGCTATTTTTATTTCCCACTCATCAGCAATACCATTGTATTTGGATGTTGTAACGGTGACTTTCAAATGCTTGTTTGGCAGAAATGTACATAGTATGGAGCATGATGACTGTAACAGTGATTTTGTACTGGTAGAGGCTTAGACGTTTCTTTTTCACGGGGTTATATCAAGCACCTTTTGCTAAGGGGAAATCTTTGCTTTGCTGTTTCCTGTCCTGCCTAACGAATGCTCCCTATCACGGTGAGCGTTCCTATACTCAGGAAATCAGCTCCACATGAAGACACACACATGCAGTACATACAGTTACATGCGTCAAAACACATGTACAATTTTTAGCCCCATGCATGTAATAAAGTTAGACATTCAAGTTGTGTTTTACGCGAGGCTCTTCCCCCTTTTCCTCTTTAAATGTGAAAAAAGAGTTCTGCCTTGTGTTGTTTGGAGGACATTTTATTATCAGTATTTTAAGATGCTCTTTGTGTACACTCTCGCAGACGTGTTTTGGGTTTATTCGATATTGCCGTTAGATGTTAGGAGACAGCAAAAAGTGCAGCCAACAAATAAGTGACAGATACTAAAAAAAAAATCTAATTGATCCTGAGAAAGAGAAAAATATTGACTTCAGTCAGGCACTTTGTTTTGGCCTCAAGCACTCAGAGCCATTTAGCACTTCAATAAGGTCTTTGTCTTTGTTTCAGACCTCCTCAAAGTCTCAGACTGGAGCACTTAAACTTCAAGAGGAAACATCTTGTTTATATAAATATACAATAAAAATATCTTTATGAAGAAAATGTATCCGAAAGCTAAAAAGAAGCTAATGTTTTAGACCTTATATTTGTATTTCTTTAGGAATTGAATAAGCTAATTCAAATTGTATTCTACGTGAAAGCAGTGTGTTGATTGAGTAACAATCATATAAGATAGTAACACGTTTGCCCTAATTGTGCATTTGTTTGACCATCCTCATTTGTGATGTGCATGCATGCTGCCTAGCTTTAGGCCTAGTTTGTTTGTCTTCTTCTGTTTACCTTCTCTGAAGCAGTCTGCTTTTAAACTGATATCTCTTTGAAATGTGTCTGTATAACAAGGCAGAAAGAGTTGATATTAACCCTAACTAGAGGAGGCTTTCAGGGCCGTACTCTAGCACAAGGTTGAATTCAAATGGTATTTAAAAGTGTATTCATTGCTCTTTAAAGCCCCAATCCAAAGAGACTATCCCTGAGTTAACTGGAGCAAATGTAGCTTGTAGGCAAGCTAATCTTTCATTAGCTTCACTACATCAATGTAATCTCTTATTGAGTAATTCGGAGAGATGTTTTACTATCCTTACTCTAAAGAATATTCCTTTCGATCATTTTTTTTCTACTTAAACTGACTTTGTAGTAGTTATTAGATTTAAATCTTATAGCCATGTATGGCAGGTCAAACTAAGATGCTAGATAGGTGCTACCAGGATAGCCTGTAGCAGCTAGCTATACCACCTACTCCCCCATCTAACTGAAGGTGATTTTTTCTTAGTTGAAATAAACCGAGAAACTGTTTTTATAGTAATCCCTGCAACATTTTTTTTTTTTGGCCAAACAAGTCTGGGATTTGGGCTTTAAAATGTGAATGAAAGTTTTAAAAGTTCTCCCCTGATTTTAAATAATTATAGATGTATAAGAAATGTCTCAGGTGAGACTGTTTTTTATACAGCCAAACAATTAAGTGTATTTTATAAAACCGTCTTTGATTTCTTAAAAGGCAGATACAAAGACCCACACACACACACACACACACACACACCCCCACACACACACACTCATACACAGCAGTAGAGGACCTTCATCCGCTGGTGTGTTTTCTTTGTGTTTGTTCAGCCCTTTATCAAATGTGTGCTCTTCTTCATTCTTTGATGCATATTTACTGCAGCAAAGCAGTATCTACCCATATAGATTGTACCAGGTTCCAGAAAGCTAAACATTACATACGCTTATTTTCTGCAAACATTTTGCAACTCGCTTTTTATTCATGTACTTTTTCATCTGCCTAATCTTAAATTGACGAGGCCCGGTGTTGGATTTGCGAGCATAGACTCTGACTTTATGTCTCTGTGTGGAGAACATTTATTTGTGAAGTTTGTGTTGGAGCAAAACTATTGTAACAAAGGCCCCTGGGTGTCTCCTCACATTATTTAATAATACAACAGTGATCACATCCTTTTGTTTGCATAGCAGAACTTCTACCTATTGAATGTTGATAATTCAATTTAGCAAACCTTAGAATCCCGTGGACCTCGGGTGATTCACTGCTCGGTCAAAGTGCAGTAACAGGCATCCTCTGCAACATGTCAACTCTTATTTAAAGGGTCCATTCACGTTACAAACACAAATGATCCCTTACTGTATGTCTTGTGGACACTGGTCACCCAGATAGATCTGGTTTTATTGGTTCATGTTTTGGGATATCTGTCTCTTTACATTCTGCCTTTTGGTGCTCACACCACTGAAGGAAGTACTCTCCTGTTACTCTGAATGCTGTGAACAGTATTTTTTCAGAGAATGCCAAAACGTTGGTGAATAAAACCATAACTATAGGCCTTGCTAGTTACTTATAGATGTGAGTGACAACATTTTTCTTGTCATTTGGGTGAACCGACCCTTTAGTGTCTCAGGTGCCACGCATTTAACCCGCTCTCACATCACTCTGAAGCAGATTTTCTTTTTTACTTTAGTACTTACTTTATCAAATCAAATGAATGCCCCTTTTAAATGATTTGTTCAAATGACTTAAAGCTGCATCAATTCATTTCTAACCTTCACAACGAGCAAAGAAAGCAACATTATGATTCATTTGGAGTTGTGTGCATGTCACCATATGAATGGAGTTGATATGATGTACCCTCTTAGCTCATTGTTCCTGATCTCCACCAATTCATGAGTTCACCAGCTAACTGACTTTATATCCGAGCCAGCAGAATGGGATGTTTGGAAAACCAAGAATAATAAGTGAAAAGAGGCTGAAATATTCAGTGGAGATGAAGGAAAAGTAGTGTTGGTGATCATATTTTTGCTAAATGTTTAGCAACCTCATAAACAATGTTCTTTTGATCAATTTTTCATATAAAAAATATTGGTGCAGCTTTAAAATGATATAATAATAAGCTTGAACAACTCAAATAAATCTCAGAATTTGATACTTATGGAATCCTCCAGGTTCAATTGTTGTTTATTACAGGAAAGTGGCTCCAACTGCTCCTACCTTGTTGCTGTGTATTTGTCTTGTTTAATTGAACTTTTGTGTTGCTGCTTCTCTGAAACAAACACTGGCTTTTCTACTCCAAAGGTTGTTCTATCAAATAATATGAACAAAAACATGCCTTTCTCACAGATTGCTAATCTTTTCTTGAAAAAACCACAAAACAAATCTGGTATCCTGGTTGAATGCGCAGGCTGAGATCATTGAGTAAAATATACAAATGCAAAATGTTTACAATTGCCATGCAAAAATGGCTCGGTTTAATTGGACTGGTTCTTGTTGTCGTGGAAAGAGACAAAGTTTCTTCACCTTGTCTTTATTCCAACCTTTGGGATGGCTCAGCATTACATGGATAAAAGTGCACCTCCGATATTTGCCTTAGAACTTGCAGAGGCCATAGTTCACATTCAAGTGAAGTGAGTGTATGCAGGGGCCCGGCCCCCATCCCTGAGTCACCAGTGCAGACTTCCTCACACTTATCTACCTGTGAAATCCTTCATACCTCTCATAACTGGTCAATGACTGTATCAGCAAACCGCATCAGGTGTTTTTCTACATGCTTTTTACACAGATTATATGGATTCTTGTATTAGTAGATTTTGGTGCACCATTTTTTATGTAATAGCTCTTAAGCTTGTAGTTCGAGTTGTTTTTTTGTTTTCATTTTTCTAGATGACTGTTTTGTGTTAATAATTTTCAATTTGAAATAGCTGTTATTTCTCACTCTACTAAGAGTTCTTACCTTTATCATTTTGAAATGCTACATGACCCTAATTAATTAAAATGACTTAAAAACCATTGTAAATATGGTATTGTGCAAACCCCATTTTCATTCATTTCAATTGCTTGTGTTATATAAATGACTCTTTTGTCTAGACACCATTTCTCTTTATGAAATAAAGAAACATGCATATCATATGTGTTTTGTGCGTGGTTTTGGAAAAATGAGACCAAATGTTGGTCAGTATTAAAGATGCATGAATTGAACACACACACACACACACACACACACACACACACACACACACACACACACACACACACACACACACACACACACACACACACACACACAATTAATTAGCATTGATCTGGAGTTGTGTTTCTGCACATGTAATGTTAGTTCTTCTTCCTATGGAAGCCCATTCTACGGTGGTTGACAGGAGCAAGTGCGTGACATCGGCCCAAAACACTTCCACTCGAAGAAACATGCTGCGGTTTAAAAAACACTGTAAATATCAAAACACAAATGTGCCAAAACACATACAAATGATGAAACATCTTCCCCAAGGTGACAACACATGTTGCATTTAGAAAACATTCAACGACTTCACGAAACATTGTTTACTGAAAGCGCTGCATAAACAAAATGCTTCAAGAGGCACAAAAGAAACCAGGGGACACTAAAAAGTGACGCACACAGCTGGGACCGGACACAGCTGGGACCGGAGTTGGCCAACTGTCACTGTTGGCAGAGCTGGTCTCTGGTTTCAGAACTGTAAGAGTTTGTCAGTGCAGTTGAAATGTCTAGGTTGGTGAAGATGTCTCTTTATTTGCATGTTTTGGTACATTATTGTTCCTTCTCCTAATGGAAGTGTTTTTGGCTGTCGGAGCGCGTTGGCACCTGTTGGCCACCATACCTCTCTAACTGTAAAATAAAATAATATGATTCAAATTAAATCATGGGATTGTCATTATAATCTCGTAATAAAAAATTAAAAAAGACTTAGTATATCAAAATATTCTCACTCAGACTAAACAATTTGGTTTATTAGAAGAAAAACTACAGGACATCGGAAACATTGTCAGATGTATTCATAAACAATTTGAGGCGACTCTTAGTTGAACAAAAGGTTGAATTTGAAGAGCCCTTTTCTCCTGTGGGTCATGGGGTTTGATAAACAGTTGATAAGAGAGTTCCCTCTTCTTCATTTGTGGTTGCCAATGCCACAATCTTAAATGACAATCTTCAGTCACATAGCCAATCTGTACAACAGGCTTTTGGTCTTATTATATGAGATATTATGCTTTAAGCCAAATATACATTTGATTCATATTTGATTAAGCAAGTGGCTTGCAAATGATCAATATAAAAGTATCAGGTGCTGAAGATATCATTAGTATTGAACATTAAGAAAATGTTGAAGTGCTCTTTGGGGTCAGGATCCCTCGGTCGCCTTTGAACTTCTGTATGTCTCCAGCTGGGTCACAAAACAGTGATTTTCAATCTACTTTTTCATGATTGAAGACAGCTCCAGAATCATGCTCTAAAAGAAGAAAAGATGGTTGGGAAAAACATGGTTATTATCGAAATCACAGACACTTGTTTTTCTGACCTCCAGTTGATAACTTTGAAGCAGGTGGATACAGTTTGGCAAAAGAACATTTCGGCTGGGATCCTCAAGTGTACATTGTTTTTAAAACTCATTTGGGCCGCATAACACTGAACGGCACCACTACCCTGCTCTAAATAGTATCTTTTAATGTACCTGCCCAAACTCTTTTTACACAGCTGTTTTCACAGAAGAGAAAAAGGTACTAAGAAATACTGTAAAACCACTTTTTGTATGTGTTAGTCATACATACAGAAAGATCAGACTTGAATATAAGCACCAGAATTGAGTTTTTCCAACTTGCCTCTTTCATAGGTTCTGCATGGACTCAGTTTTGGTGATTTAACATACTGATTTCATATATTTTAGAGCTCCTCTCTCAACTGTTTGAAGTGGGCGAAGCTGAATTAGAATGAATTTGACTTTCTTCCAATCACAATTTAGCAATATTTCAATTATATTATGTGAAAAAAACATACATTTTCATAATGTCCAACATTTTTACAAGTATTAAAGTGACATAAGTAGTATGTAGTAGTAGCAGGTCTCGACATTAAGGACTGCCCTATGGCCCGGGGCCATCTAGTATTTAGCTCGGGCCATGAAGCCTCACCTGCTGGTTGCCCGATCGGGCAATCTATTATGCCAGTATCATGCAGCTCGCGACAATGAGTGACCCGACAGTAAAACTAAACATATCTATAACTAGTTTAGGTAGTTTGAGAGGTAATTAAAATAACTACGTGTGATTTTCTAACCTGAAGTGTGTGTTTTGTTCCGCTCACCGCTGCATGTGATCATGCGGAGCTGCGTGTCGACTCGTCAGCAGCAGCTGATCTCTCTCTCCCGCCAGTTTAGACTTCACTCGCGTTTATGTCCATATTGATCAGATCTAGCTAGTTCTAGCTAATGATATGACTACCTGCTTATTGAAAGACACCTAAACAATAAGCGTCGCTATGCAACCGGGTGAGGCCGCAAAGTATAGCGCAGCCTTATGCATTTGTTTACATACCCACCAGAACCCCGAGGCCTTACCAACAGATCAACGCACAATCAACCCATACAGGACATCTCTTTCTCCACATTAAGTGTTAGACATTAGAATTGACTATTCTTGTCTGTCACATACTCTTCTTGTCTGTCACATAAGTGGCGCTAAAGGGAAATTATTTTGACCGAAGAGATTTAGATTTGCCGGCTAAAGGGAACTCTGACGTCGCCATTTTGTGTGCTTTCTCGGAGGCGCTCGGCTGCCTCTCAGGTCCTCTCGACTGCTGCTCGGGGTCTGCTCGGTCAGCTCGGTATGAAGGGAGGCATTCGTTCGACCAACTTACAGTAGATAGACATTACAAACATTTTTTAACAAGGGGCCATAATTAGTGTAAATAATGTTTGTTTTGGCAGTTATAACTGAATGTAATGTTTTTCTACTTTATTACACTGGGAAGGCATTTACCTTCATCAGATGGAAAGTGTCTTGACCAACAACTTAAGTATTTAGCTTATAGCTATGCAGGGCATGCAAGAGAGCAAAACATGCAAACAGATCAATAAACAAAACAATAGTGAATATATAGAATAAAATTGAAATTGTTTGCAATATAATATTGTTGGTGCCACATGCGTTCATTCTTATAATTCCAGTCTAGAGAATGCACCAGACAGCATCTACAGTAAGACCTGCAAAAATCCTAAATGTTCTGGGGGAGGCCCTCAAAAACCTTCTTGCAATTTCGTCCGCGGCGCATTTTCAGCGGCAATCTCTATTGGCTCAGGCCCATCTGTAAATTAGCCTTCTCCCAAAATCCTTAAATGTCATGCACTGAGTGAGTATTTTTGAAATGCGCTACCTTATTTTTGAGCCATTTGGATGTTGTACTTATGGCTGTGTATTTTATTACTGTGTGCTTTTCTAATAAGTTATGCTTGCTCTGTTATTATTGCAAGCCTGTTTTGACCTGCTAGTGCTATGCCACTTTTGCTGTAAAACATTTCCCCGCTGGACTAATGAAGAGTTCTTGATTTCTGCAGCAGCATGGAGAGCTGCAGGTGTGTTCCAGTGCTGTCCAGCAGGGGGCACCTACTCCAGACCCCCCAACCTTCCCTGCCAGTGTCACTGACAAGTGCTGACACCACGCTACGATAACCTATTATACTTTTACTCCATTACATTTTTGAGGAAAATATTGTATTATTTACTCCACTTAATTGATTTAACATTAATATTACTAGTTACTTTGTACATTACAATACATGGATGATGCCTCTGATGCAGTAGGCTACTGTACTACCAATACCCAGTACTTTACAAATAACTCTTAAATTGACTTAACAATTCTAATTTGATATGAAATGTATTTCGTACTGCATAAAAGTAACTTTCATATCAAATTACCTTGAGTCCATCTATGTTATGTTAGAGCTTACTGGGTATAGGTAGTACTGTCTACTGCTTCAGATCATCATCTTGTGCTTGTATACTGTGGACTCAGTACTTACGTAGTAAAATATGTATCAATCAGATTCAGTGGTAGTGAGTATATTTAAATAATCCTAATTTTTCTCAAATGTAACTGAAGTAAAATTATCTGATGTAGCGTTGTTCAGGCACTTGTCTGACACTGAGTTGGCTGTCTGAGTAGGTCAGAACTGGACAGTCACTGGAAGACTCTGCAGCTCTCCTCTGTCTGTGTGAACTCTGACTCCTTCATTAGGACCAGCGGAAATGTTTACAGCACAAGTGACATACCACTAGCTGATCATCACGAGCTTCTAAGGAATAAAACACACCAAGCTAACATCAGTTTAGACTTGACATAGTTCTAATATGATACCACTGTCCATAATTACACTTACCAAATGGCTCAAAATAAGTTAGCCAGCATCAATATACTACTCGGCATGACATTAAGGAGTGTTGCAAGGACAGGCTAATATTACAGATGTCCTGACCCCAAGAGATGTCTTGAGTAATGCGTGTGGAGTAACCCGAAATTGTCAAGAAGGTTTTGAGGGCCTCCCCAAGCAATCATTTTAGTTGTTTTTAGCAGGTCTTACTGTAGATCTGTCTGGTGCATTACTCTAGACTGAATTATAAGATGAACCACCACACTATTTATATTGCACAATTTCAATTTTAATTCTTAATTCACTTTTTGTTTTGTATTGTTGTGTTTCTCTCTTGCATGCCCTGCATAGCTTATAAGAAATTACTTAAGTTGTTGGTCAAGACACTTTCCATCGTATGAAGTAGAAGGTGCCTTCCCAGCGGTGTAAAAAAGTAGAAAACATTACGATTCAGTTATAACGGCCAACAAACATTATTTACACTATTATGGCCCCTGTTAAAAATGTTGTAATGTTATCTACTGGTCGGCGTCTGTGGTTAAGTTGTCGAACGAATGCCTCCCTCATCCGGAAGCTGACCTAGCGAACCCGAGCAAGCAGTCGAGAGGACCTGACGGAGGAGCCGAGCGCCTCCGAGAAGCACAAAATGGCGACGTCAGAGTTCACCTTTAGCGCGTCGCAAATCTAAAATCTCTTCGGTCAAAATAATTTCCCTTTAGCGCCACTTATGGACAGACATAGAAGAGTATGTGACAGGACAGAATAGTCAATTCTAATGTCTAACACTTAATGTGAGAGAAAGAGATTCCTGTATGGGTTGTTTGTGCGTTGATCTGTTGGCTAAGCGGGGTTGTTCTGGGTGGGGATGTAACAAAGTCATAAGCTGCGGGAGTGCGCGCCTCACCCGGCGTTGCGATGAGCGCGAGCGCGAGCTGTTTAGGGTGTCTTTCAATAAGGCAGGTTATCATTCATTAAGCTAGAACTAGCTAGAACTGTTCAATATGGGACATAAAACGCGAGTGAAGTCTAAACTCGGGAACGAGAGGAGATTCAGCGCTGCTGACGAGTCGAGCACGGCAGCTCCGCATGATCACCATGCAGCGGTGAGCGGGAACGGAACACACACTTCGAGGTTAAGAAAATCACACCCGTAGGTTATTAATTAC